ACATGGTTTTACAATTCTTAGGGTCAGCATCAGAGACATCGTTTTGCGGCATCACACACATTTCATGTGGAATAATTTAGTTTACTTTTACATTATTCAATGGTTTACATATAGCAGCAGCAACCCAAGGGGCATTGTGATGTGAAGGGAAACTGAGGATACTGTTGGACTGCTTTAAAGGGAGGACTGTGATGTAAAGAGGAGTGGGACTGTGATGTGAAGGGGGTCTGGGATTTAAAGGGGGACTGTGGACACTGATGTAAAGGGGGGGCTGTGATGTTCAGAGGGGTTATGATGTAAAGAGAGGGCTGAGGACAGTGATATAAAGAGGGGGCTAAGATGTGAAGGGTAGGCTGAAGACGATGAAGACGATGATGTACAGGGGGGACTGTGATGTAAAAGGGGGCTGTGTTGTATTATAGTGCAAACATGAGATTTGGACCTACGTTGGAAGAAAATGTTACCAACTGGACCTCCGTAAATTTTAATTCAAGACTATAGAGTGGGGTTTTCTCAAATTTGACTGCAAAAGTGGAAATACACTTAAAGGAAATACACTTAAATATGAAAAAAACAGAAGTAATTTGAATCACACCTTTGAAGCCTTTTTGGTTAAGTCACTATTTCTGAGGGAGAGATTTGCCCCACAGGCTGCGCAGGCTGTAATTTGTGAGCTATTGGCAATGAATTTTTGTGTACAATTGAAAATATAAATATGGAACAGAACTGCACCACAGTTTTTAAGTCTTCATTGGAACAGGGCAGAATTTCTGAAGCATTAAACAGATTGCAACCACAAGCAAAAATTGTCTTTTTCACAGACTGAATTAAGAAAAAATACAGATTTGCTGCAAGGCTTAGTGCTGTCTATAGTACATGTGCTGAATAGAATGCCCGTTCCCTCCACTCATCTGCGACCGGTCCCTAAATGACATCCTCTCACTGACTTTCTTCTGCCTCTCCCTCACTTTCTTCCTCTGTTACATCTGCCACCCAAGTGTACAGTCAGAACCCCCCCCCCGTAACCCACCATCAATGGAGCCAACTTGGTTTTAGGACGCAGTCCCAGATACATCTGTGCCTGGCTTCACCTCCCTCTATAATTCACTTCTCTCTTTCTTAACCTCAGATGCAGTTATTTGCTTGTATCAAGTGGCTGATACTGTGTTAAAAAAAACTTAGTCAACTGCTACATGCTAGATGGAGGGGCAACTGCAGAAGTAGCTATAAATGAGGAGGCAGAACAGGGCACTTTACTAGCTTCCAATTACTTTAACCGCTTGAAGACCACAATGTACTGTGGACAGGCATGCCTGCTTCTAGGTATAGGGCCTGAGCATGTGTGTCCCCCAATGACACCCGCTGTGATTGTACACAGTGGGAGTTTGTCAGCAAGTCCCAGCAAATTATTCATGGCCGGGACCTCATGATCGGCTGTGTCCAATCACAGCCCAGAGCCCTGTGTTAACAATCAACACAGGGCTCTGTAAAAAGGGAACAATCTCTGTTTCCTATTCCTGCAAAGCACGAATAGGAAACAAAGAGATGTTAGTAAAAGCATGTTGTATATTGTAAAGTGCTGAGCAAACTGTTGGCACTATGTAAATCCTGTATAATAATAATAATAATAATAAAAGCAGTACACATTACATATTGTTAGGCACACATTTAACCCTTTGATTGCCCTAGATGTTAACTCCTTCCCAACCAGTGTCGTTCTTACAGCGACAATGTATAATATTATCACTGATCATTGTATTAGCATCACTTGTGATGTCAGTTGCAGTTAGTCAGTTCTCCCCCAGCGTCAGTTTGGGTAAGATTGCCTGCCACACTATCACAGTCTCATTATAAGCCGCTGATCACTGCCATTAGTAGTATAAAATATATATATATATACAAACATTTATTGGGATATTTTACAAAAGACATAACAGCATACATTTTTTATCAATATTTATGAAGAAATTTGATTTTTTAAAACATTTATTACTGGATATATTTTTTAACAGAAAGTAAAATATATTTTTTTTTAAATATCGCAAAAAATAAAAAACCCAGTGGTGATGAAAACCAAAGGAAAGCTCTATTTGTGTAAAATAAATAATATAAATTTAATTTGGCTATAACATTGCATGACCACGCAATAACCGGCTAAAGTAGCACAGTGCCAAATAGCAAAAAATGGCCTGATGATAAAGGGGGTAAAACTTTCCGTAGCTGAAGTGGTTAAAGCGCAGCTCCAGTCAAAATTAAAAAAAAATTATAATCAGCAGCTCTCACGATCCAGTGTTGTCCTCACTGCAGCTGGTTTCACCGGCCATCCTCTCTCCCTGGCATCTTAAATGTGGGCACTCGGCTGTGACAGTTTGCAGCTTCACAGCCAGGTGCCCACTACACATGCACGAGTTGTGCTGCACCTTGTGAATGGTCCCGTAGTCTTCTGGGACCATTCACGTGTCCCAGAAAACTATGGGGAGGGAAGAAAACTTCTGGTTCCCCCCCCTCTCCCCAAAAGTGCCAATCCTTAATGGGAAGCCAGGGATGAGACCTTAAAGCAGAGCTTACCCTTCTGGGTGGAACTCTGCTTTAAGCTACTTTGTGCCCAGGAAAAAGAGGAGGAGGATGGTGAAGGCTTGGTTAGCCACACCATCACCACCTCTGTATTCTCTTGGGGTAAAGCACGCCCACTGCCAAAAATCCCTACTAATAAAATCCACATTTTTTCCTCACTATTTCAACACATAGACCTGTACATTAATTATTCTACCCTGAAAACCCCAGACCCAAAGGGCTATCAGTGCCTGATATACTTCTCTCCCTTAAATTTATTTGAATAACACATCTACGCTAAGTACAAGACTATGAAACAGAACACTGCACAAAACATGGAGTTAAAATTCAAAATATATCTTTACTAAAAATATTTACTGTTTTAAATTGCAAGCTCATTTCATTACTTAGTTGGTTTAAAAAAATATTACCTTTTACTTTGCAGTGGCAGAGTCTCCTAAACTGCTACCCGTGTGGAATAGCTAGGCAAGCTGGCTCTGCTTATTCTATAGCATTCTTATCAAAGAGGGCGACTACCTTAGAAAGTCAGCCTGAACATGGGGAGAAAGCAGAGGTGACCGGGTCTTTTTTACAGGGAACTGCTGCAGGGAAGGTTCATGAGTTTGAGATTGCATTCAAAGACATTGCTGCAGTTAAAGTGGAAAAACATCAAATTCATGCAGTACAACACCTGCTGTATGTAAGGAAATTTAGATTGGAGTTTATTATTAAATACTGCTCTAGAAGCATCCCAGTCTGTTAGGATACTGATCTGACTTTACTAAAATCAGGGGAATCCAAAGTGGCCCTAACAACAGTTTTGTAGAGGTAGTTTTCTTGACCTCTGTCACTGTGTGAGTGGAGCCTGATGGGAAACTGAGATTAATTATAGGAATTCAATTCTACGGGAGTCTATTCCCACCCCTTTCTGAACTGTGACAGTTCTTGCATTCATCTTCTTTGGTAAATGAACCTTTCCCCAGTTTTTCTTACCATCAGTCTAGGGGAAGCTTCTCTTACTACTGGACCCTTTTAAGGGGATCTTGTTTCCACCCAAGAGGACTTCAACTCTAATGTGCACCAACTAGGGTCCCATCAAGCGTGCAGAAGAATCTATTTCTATAGCTGGGAGTAATGCTAGAGGGGATGTTATTACATGCAAATTCATCTTGAGAGTTAAACCCTGTTTCTAGTCATTGATAACTCACAATTGAGTTTGCTCGAGTTTTCTTTATATTCTATTTCAGCTGACTTTGGGAAATAAAACTTCTCAGTGCTGGAATTAATGTTTAAACTCTGGTCCTGCAGGACAATTTGGTCTATTTAAAGGATAAGTTCACCTTTTGGAACATGTTAAATGATCCACCTGTTTTTAAGGTGGAACATGTAACATGTTCCTAATGCTACAGCCGCTGCATGCTGCCCCCCCTCCTCCCAGTCACAGAAGTACGGGGAGAAGCTCCGCCCACACTGTCACGTCATTCATTCAGAGTGTTCTGTGAATGAATGAACTACAAGACCTGACAGCCTTAGCCACTGTCTGCTTGTAGTTCTCAATGAACTACCATGGCACTGTGGAGCGCTGTGATAGTTCATTGAATCTTCCTGTCAGTATATCTGCTTGCCCGTACATCCCGGGCAAGCAGATATACTGACAGGTCTGCAGGAGATTTAAAGGCTCCTGCAACCAAAAATAATAAATGCACACTTTTTACCTGCAAAAAAATGTACATTTATTAGTTTTGATCAAACGGTGAATGTATCCTTTAAAGTGGTACTGTGTATGTTCCCTTTGACTACGTTTTCGAGAGTGGTTATCTTTTGTGCACACCTACTATTGGTTTTTTTTTTTTTTTGTGCTTGTATTTCTTTTTTCTCGAACTTCAACGCAATCAGAGCATTGGTTCACCTTAAATTCTGAAATTGTTTTGTGTTTCACAGCCAGCGGGTTCTCCTGTCAAGGGTATACGGTGGTGTCACCGGGGGTTGTGCTCCAAATCAGGCTCAGAGCAACCAGGGGACCCAAAATACTCAGTGGCTTTTAAGGGGGGTAGCGCTACACTACATTTTAAAGGGAAAAAGAGGGGAAATATTCCAACGGGGACACTAGTTCTGGTGACCTGGGGGACCCAAGAAATTCCATTAAATTGCAGGGATTTCCTCTAACTTTCTGTTTTGGCTATGGGACAGGAAGTAAATGGAAATCTCTTCAACGGGACACAGCTGGCGAAAAAAAAAAACCTGACAGAGGTTGTAACCCTATCCAAAATGGAAAAAAAAAAAAAAGTTTTTCCTATTGTTCTTCTTTAATGTTAGTAAAAACAAAGGTTACATCAATATCACAAGTATGATAAATAATAAATACTGCAAATAAGTATAACAGTACAAAAAAATATATATATATACCCAATGAATTATAGTTCAATAGTGTAGAATTGATACCTCACCTTATGGATGCTATGGTTAGGGTGAAGTCTTTCAGTTTGGAATATGCATCACCTGAGTTAAGCCTAGAAAATAAAAAACAAGCTTTAAATTTTGTCTTGGCTGATGTCAGGAAAGAAGAAGGTGTAGAGGCTAATATTTTGACAAACTTAGGAGAGAGCAGGATTTGATAAGCATGCATAGAATGGAAACTCAAACTGGACAGTGCAAAACCTGGTTCCAGTGCGGTTCCACAATTGTTGCATGCACGACTTTGGTTTGATGCAGTGCGATTCGAGCCCATTCAAAATGAATGGGCTTGAATCGCACCGCACTGAATTGCATGTAAATTGAACAGGAATGTGGTGCAGTTGTGGTGTGATTCACATGCAGTTCATAGTGTGAACTGAGGTTTAAAGAGTTCCAGTTTGGGATTGTGAAACACAGATCTTGTTGGGAGTGCTGTCACTTTCAAACAAATTACCAGTTGGCTTCAACGAGTTTGTTAACAAGCTTTAAATAGGGCTGAAAATTACTGAAACCTACTAGCAGCTTGTTTAAGTGACAATCAACACTTCCTTTAGGATATGTGTTTAAAAAGCAGAACTCCGTGAGGAAAAAAAAATGTACTCCCATGCAATGGGGCTGTGCCCGCACTACATGGGTTAACTGCCCGTTTTGTCTAGAGGCGCGCCGAAAGGCTATACTCTCCTGCGCCTCCCCACATACAACGGTGGACTGTTCCTGCTATCCTCACATCCAGAGTATAATGACATCAGGAACGTCCATTCACAAGACCGCTAGCATGCGGGGAGGGGGGGGGGGGGAGTAACAGAAACAACAGGGATCGGTCTTGTGCTCGGAGGATAAGCAGATTAGATAAGTATATCACTGTTCTGAAATCCCCAAGACAAAATTGAGCAGTTAACCCATGCAATGCAGGCATAGCCCCATTGCATGGGAGAAATTTTTTTTTTGCCTGGAATTCTTCTTTAACATTCTCAAACTGGAAGTGAATGAAACTTTAAAGGCTGCAAAGAACCTTGGTAAAAGTGTGCTGTACACACTGCTTGTGTGAACTATGCATTAGGGCTGTGATTAACATGACCTGCAAAACCTCTAAACCCCAGAAGACATTCAATGCCTTTTTTCACTTATGTAATATATATACACACACACACACACATATATATATATATATATATACACACACACTATATTTAGTATTGGGACACCCCTCCAAATCATTGACTGGATTCAGGTGTTCCAATCACCTCTATGGCCACAGGTGTATAATATCAAGCACCTAGGCATGCAGACTGCTTCTACAAACATTTGTGAAAGAATGGGTTGCTCTCAGGAGCTCAGTGAATGGTACCGTGATAGGTTGCCACCTGTGTAATAAGTCCATCTGTGAAATTTTCTTGCTACTAAATATTCCACGGTCAACTGTGGTATTTTAACAAAGAGGAAGCAACCGGAAACAACAGCAACTCAGCCACGAAGTGGTAGGCCATGTAAAATGACAGAGCAGGGTCAGCCGATGCTGAAGCGCACAGTGCGCAGAAGTCGCCAACTGTATGCAGAGTCAATAGCTAAAGACCTCCAAACTCCATGTGGCCTTCAGATTAACACAACAGTGCATAGAGAGCTTCATGGAATGGGTTTCCATGGCAGAGCGACTGGATCCAAGCACACATCACCAAGTGCAATGCAAAGCGTCGGATGCAGTGGTGTAAAGAATGCTACCACTGGACACTAGAGAAGTGAAGACATGTTCCCTGGAGTGACAAATCACACTTCACTGTCTGGCAATCCGATATGCATGTCTGGGTTTGGCAGGTTCCAGGAGAACAGTACTTGCCTGACTGCATTGTGCCAAGTGTAAAGTTTGGTGGGGTTATGGTTTGGAGTGGTGATGATTATGGTGTGGATTTGTTCTTCAGGGGTTGAGCTTGGCCCCTTAGTTCCAGTGAAGGAAACTCTTACGGTGTCAGCACACAAAGACATTTTGAACAATTTCATGCTTTAAACTTTATGGTAACAGTTTGGGGATGGCCCTTTCCTGTTCCAACATGACTACGCACCAGTGCACAAAGCAAGGTCCATAAAGACATGGAGGAGTGAGTTTGGGGTGGAGCAACTTGAATGGCCTGCACAGAGTCTTTGACCTCAACCCGATAGAATACCTTTGGGATGAATTAGAGCAGAGACTGCAAGCCAAGCCTTCTCTTCATCACCACAGGGGCCGGACTGGCCATAGGGCACACCGGCCTGGATAGGAGGGGCGGCACATAAAGGAACAGATCCATGCATTTCTCAGTTCCTCTATGTGCCACCTGGCCGGCCTGCCTATCCGTCTCCTGCATGCCCTGGGCTCCTGTATGCTCCCCCCGCAGCCTCTCCCCTCATCTCCTGCAGCGCTGCGCTGGGTTCAACCCTCCCTGCAACTGCTGCTGCGGATCTGGCAGGATAGACTGTGCCCAGTGCCGACAGCCCCCCCGTCCCCACCACAGATGGGATTGAGAGAGAAAGCTGGTTCTGCCTCTCCTCCTCCAGCCCTCTCCTCCTGTATCTGCCCCGCCCACACTCTCTCTCTCTCCTCATTTCTTTCTCTCTTTTTTTCTCCTTCGTTCCCTCCTTCCTTCCTTCGTTCCCTCCTTCCTTCTTTCCCTGCTTCCTTCTTTCCCTGCTTCCTTCTTTCCTTTCCTTCTCTCTTTTTGCTTCATACTTTCTTTCTTCTTTCTCTCCTACAAAAAATAATGTAAAAAAATAATGAAATATAAAATTGTAAAAAATTAAAAAAAAAAAAAAACTACTGACACTACCATGGTCGCAAAGGTCACTCCTATGACTGGGCCTGGTGTTCTGCCATCGGGCTCCAAGGAAAGGGTTCCCAGGCTTGGGGCTGCTCAGTCCAAAATGCTCGGGCCTATTTTTTGTCCTACTCTGGGCCTGGACATCACTGCTTGACCTCACAAATGCACTTCTGGAAGAATGGTCTTGCAATAATACATTCTAAAAGATGTTGTAAGCCTTTACCTAAACTAATGCTGGCCATACATTATACAATTTTCTGGTACAAATTTCCTTTGCATTTACCAAAACCATATAACATGAGGTCAAGCCTAAAAACTTCATTATGTATAAAATCAGACAGGGTCTTGCACTTGAATGGAAATTGAATAAGAAAATTGTATAATGTATGCCCTGCTTTAGGGAACCAAAGTAGTTGGAACTGCTCTAATAGATGCTTTAAAAATCAAATGGCTTGCAGAATCAGACAAGAGAACATGTCCATTTACCAAATACCTCAGGAGACACCTCTGAAAAATAAATAAAAAGCAACCAGTCCTCCCAATTTTTTTTAGATAAAGCAGATAGGAATAGTAGAGAAAAGGAACTTTTATTGCTGTCTATAGATGGAAAAATGGCCGATCAATTAATCTACATATATGATGTCTGTTGACCAATTATTGTTTCTGGTCAACATTAGTGGAGTTTTTCAATGACAATGGCTGCACCTTTGAAGGAAGGCTGGGAAAAATAACATGCTGAAGCACTGGTAACCACCAGGTCAAATATTATTAGGCCATTTATTCCAAACTGCATACATGGATGCATGGCTTTTGACCATCATCAGTGCACGGTTCTAATGAATAGAGCTTGGTTCCTAGTCAACAAAACCCGCATGCATATTAATACATTCAAAATTTTACTACTGAGCTTGTTTAAGAATGCATTTCTTAGCAAGCAAACATCACAAATTCCACCTAACAGTTTCTATGTTTGTCTATACCTATGTTTTTTTTACTTAAGGCAATGGTAAGGCCTCATGCACACAGGGCGTTTTTTCAGCCACTTTTAGGTGTTTTTTTTTTCTACAGGTTCCAAACAGCCCTCCATGTTATCCTATGTGCCTATGCACACATAGACTTTTAGAAGCTTTTAGTAGCAGTTGCGTTTATCAGCAGTAAAACAAATCCCCAGGGCCAGTGTGTCCAGGAGCAGAAGTGTTTTGGCAGAAAAAAACAACTGATGCATCTAAACGTGCTGAAATGTGTGTCAATGTGAGTGTTAAGTCATTTCAATGAAATAAATGAACACCCAAGTGCTTGACACCTGCACAAGCACCTAAACGTTTATAAAAGTGTTAGAAACTATGACAAGCGTCAGTCACTTTTCTGCCAAAACACTGCTGCCAAGAGGAGGAACATTTTTAAAATGTCCTGTGTGCATGGGGCCTAAAAAACAAAAATAAAAATGTATTCAATTTCAGCTTACCCATTCTTAGATGTGGTTGTTGCATTAGCTTTATTTTTTTAGGCTTTGTTTCCTTTATTTTTATATGGTGATCCAGCTAGTAAGTCAGCTATTTCTCTTACTTTAACAGACCAAAACTATCCAAAGTATCAGTTTGAGGGTTAAGACAAACCATTTACCACTGACAGGGAAGCTTATAATAGTCGGCTTTTATTCATTTATGTAAGGCCTTTACGGCAAAAGGAAAAACACTGTTTGCTGTAAATGCTTAAGCTGGTGTTCAGCAGTAATTTGTTAGTCAAGTCCATCTAGATCTGCTAGTCTACTGTCCTCCCTCTAGACGGACAATGCTGCCATCCAAAGGTGTCTGCATTACTACTTCATCTAGAACACAGACACTGCCCCAAGCCTTACCAACCATCAGTAAATTCATGGACAGTTTGTAAAAATCTGTGATTTTTACAGCTTGCATGAATGTCTGTTACAGACATAAAGGGGTTTATTTACTAAAGCTGGAGAGTCCAAAATCAGACTCCCTTCTGCATAGAAACCAATCAGCTTCTAACCTCAGCTTGTTCAATGAAGCTTTGGCAATGAAACCTGGAAGCTGATTGGTTTCTATGCAGAAGGGAGTCTGATTTTGGACTCTCCAGCTTTAGTAAATAAACCCCCAAAATGTCTGTAAAAACATTGCACCATAACCAGAGGCAGCGCCAGGAGAGGCATAGATCCACTCTATACATCTACAACTCTTGGTTATTTCTTTTTTTCCTGACGCTGCTGCAGTGCCACCTCCCACCTGCCACTGACTGCCAGCTCTAGTGGTTGGTTGCTAGGACAGCCCAGCATCAAACGCCAGCTTGCCATGCCCCCAACATTTAGATGAGGAGACTGGAACTTCCTCCTCCAGAGTCTAGACATGCTGCCAGGCAGTGCCAGATACTCTGTGGACTCTGATGTAATGAAAAATCTGCCGCCCCTGATGTAAGGGGGAACGCTGCAGACCGCAATGTAAGGGGGAACTCTGATGTAAGGGGGGGAGGGGCTCTGATGACCAGAGACCCCCATACATCAGAGTTTCCATTTGTCCACAGTGTTCTCCCTTACATCACTGTTGCACTGTAAGAGGTAACCCTGCAGACAGAGATGTAAAGGGGAACTTTAGGGACTCTGATGTAAGGGGACTCTGGGAGCTCTGATATAGGGGGGGGGACTCTAATGTATAGGGGGACGCTGTGGACCCTGATGTAAGAGGGAACTCTGTGGGCTCTGCTGTAAGGAGGAAGTCTGCAGAAACTGTGTGGACTTGGGTATAAGGAGAACTCTGATGTAAGGAGGAACTCTGTGGACTTTGATTAAAGGGGAAACTCTGTGGGCACTGATCTAAGGGGGAGTTCTTTATACTGTGATATAAGGAGGGAATGCTGGAGAGACTCTGATTTAAGGGGAAACTCCGATGTAAGGGGCACTATGGTATAAGGGGGAACACTGGGGACTCTGATGTAAGGATGGACTCTTGGAACCCTGATGTAAGGGGGGACTTTGGTGTGAACAGAGGTTCATTCTGACTGCTGCACTCTACATGATGTTTTGTATGGTACTTATCCTGCCCCCCTGCACTCTATACATTATATTGTACAATACAGTCCTGACCAGGGTGTTTATGGTCTCAGCAGTTGCTGGTTTTAATTAAGCTCTTCTTTAAGACAGACTCAATGATCGTTGTCCTGAGGTTATATTTGTGTCTCTGATGCTGTCAGTTGTGGTACAATAATTAGGTATATTTTATTTTTCTTGACCTGCCCTATGACCTGCCTCTGCAGACTTCTGAGGATCCTGGGAAACCCTGGCACAAGATCGATCAACATGGCGCACGTTGATCAACCAAGGCTGCCAGACATTTGAGGAGAGAAGAATAACCACAGCACAAGAGAAGTGAGCACTCTGCAAAGCCAGAGCTGCAAATGCTGCAAAAGTGGTGCCCACATATGTCTGCCCGACATTTGGCAGAACATTTTGTGCCCATATAGGCCTTACCAGACACCTATGGACACACCATGGACTACCTGTTAGATGTCAAGGTCTTCTTCGAATACAATGGACGAGCATCATATTTTGTGGGTACAAGGACCGTTATATGTATGCAATGTATATAGAGACTAGGTACAGATTCTCTTTAATGAACCCCTTTAAGCCCTTGCTACTGAAAATCTGACCATGTATACTGTTCGCAATGGCATGCTAACTTATTTTTCTATTGTATCCCAGGGTTCCTCAGGTCTTTCATAATCCTAGTATTGCTCACATTTTGTAACTCTGTTTTGCGTTTTTATTTATAAAGTCAGACAGATTACTGGTTATGAGTATTGTTAATGTTTACATATTGTTTATACTGTTTAAATATCGATTGTCTTAGTTTATAATAGAAGTTTCTGTCGTATTTCAGGATGTCAGTAAAAACAAATATGCTCTGTTCCATGTATTTTCAATAAAAAAAATAATGGGGAGTGGCAAACCTGACAGACACTCTAAAACAGGAAGTATGTTGCTGGTTGGATCACCAGGTGAAGGTAAAAAAGCATAGAAAAAGAAAAATAATGCAACCACAACATATAAGGATTGGTAAGCTGCAATATATTACATTTATTTTTTTTTTGGCATAATATTGCTTTAATATATAATACAAGTTTAGGCTATGCACATATTTTATGTACAGTTCATTTACAACATTTTTTTGGAGAAGTACATACCCATTTTCAATTTCAATTGCCCTTAGGGAGCCATGTTTGAAAAAATCAAGAGCATAGGAATTAAGAAAGATTTTTCTTCCACAAATGTCTGTTCTTGTCAGATGTAATAAAGGAATGTACTTTTCAGGTATTTGAGCTGTTTGCAACATGAGCTGTGGAAGTAAAGTAAAGTGTTAAATTTAGCTTTTTGGGAGCATATGTTGGTCATTGGTAGAGAATAAAATATTATATACTGATGACTTTCTGATTTTCCTGAGTAATTGTGAAAAGTCATTTTCTTCTTTGTTAGCAATAGTGGAGGAATTTGGCAAAGTGTAAGGTCTGGAGGTCAGCTGAAAACAATCGTTGACTTGCCCTATAGATGCACCCTGATCAATGCATTTTATAGCTAATTCACTGGCTCAGCCTCTCAGCATACCACTGAAAACCTGAGGCAGCCGCTCATGGCCCTTCCACAGTCTAGCATTCCAGTGAGTGCTGGAGGGGCAGAGCAGAGAGCGGTGACTGACACGCTCCCCCCTTACTCTGGGACCTGCTATACAGAATGATCTCAGTCTCATTACTAATATAAAAAAACACATAAACAAGCGCCTTTTAAGAAAAATAAAAAATTGCCTTTTCATATGCAGTTATGCCATCTAAATAGAAAAAGCATAATAGTTAAAAGGACATATTTCTTTGTGGCAATTCCAATTTAGAACCTTCCTCAGAAATTCTCCTTTTACTGACTGTTTTAGCAATATTATACAAAAAGGTAAATAGGGAAGACTGCATAGGAATATTTCATATTTTTCATAGGTAGCCAGCAGGGGCATCCCTTGGCTCCTTTTTAGATGTTTTTCTGTTTTTCCTTATCTCTAGTAAAATGACTGTTTGCAGTTCTCAGAGCTCTAGATAAATGAACAAATGTAAGAATAAGCAGTGATTCATGCTTCATGGATATTTCACTTATAGATAAGGAGGGGAATTTATCAAAAGTGGAGCTGTCAGAATCTGAAGCAGTTGTGCATGGTAACCATGCAGCTTCTATCCTTCATTTTTGGCTGCTCCTGATTCTAACTGCTACAGTTTTTTCTCTTTAACTATGTTATAGCTTCAAAAACAAAGATTACATATACAAAAAAATAATTCTCTGTATTAATTGGAGGACGCATCCTCTGATTAGATGTGTTTAGAAGCTGTGTCCTTCAACAAACAGGAGATAAATTCAAATTTTTAGTGATTGTGACCATTTAGAACATTTCTTTTGGCACTTACACTGCTTATGTTTGTCATTTTCATCAAGTCATGATCTGTATTTCCAGAAAGACATGCAAATGGGGATATGCCACTTCTTCCTTTGGAGTGTGACATGAGATGATCCACCAGGCTTGAGTCCGTGCATTCTTTACCTGAAAAACCTGATAGGATGCACTGGATGAGTGATTCGCCATTTAAATGTTAAAGATGTTAAAGGTTCTCTTTAAATATACTTAGCATACAGTTGCAAGAAAAAGTATGTGAACCCCTTGGGATTACGTGCCGCTTTGCATGAATTGGGCAAAAAATGTGCTCTGAACGTCATCTAAGTCACAACAATAGAAGAACACAGTCTGCTGAACATAATACTAGACAAACATTAGATGTTGTCATGGTTTAATTGTACATAACATGTAAACATTCACAGTGCAGGGAGGAAAAAGTATGTGAGGCCCTAGCTTAATGACTTCTCCCAGAGCTAATTGGAGCCAGGAGTGAGCCAACCTTGACTCCAATCAGTGTGATAATATTGGATGTACTGCTGACAGGTGTCCTGCCCTTAAAAAACACACACCTGTTTTGGGTTTACTGGTTTCAAGAAGCACTGTCTGATGTGAACCATGCCTCGCAGAAAAGAGCTCTCAGAAGACCTACGATCAAGAATTGTTGACTTGCATGAAGCTGGAAAGGGTTACAAAAGTATCTCCAAAAGCCTTGATGTTCATGTGTCCACAGTAAGACAGACTGTCTACAAATGGAGAAAGTTTAGCACTGTACTCTCCCTAGGCATGGTCGTCCTGTAAAAATGACTGCAAGAGCACAGCGCAGAATGCTGCATGAGGTAAAGAAGAATCCCAGAGTGTCAGCTAAACCTACAGAAATCTCTGGCACATGCTAACATTTTTGTTGACACATCTACAATAAGGAAAACATTAAACAAGAATGGAGTACATGGGAGGACACCACGGAGGAAGCCATTGCTGTCCAAAAAGAATTTTGCAGCACGTTTGAACTTTGCAAAAGAGCACCTGGATGTTCCACAGCACTACTGGCAAAATATACTGTGGACAGATGAAGCCAAGATTGAGTTGTTTGGGAAGAACACACAACACTATGTGTGGAGAAAAAAAGGCACAGCACACCAACATCAAAACCTCATCCCCACTGTAACACATGGCGGAGGGAGCATCATGGTTTGGGGCTGCTTTGCTGCCTCAGGGCCTGGACGGATTGTTGTCATTGATGGGAAAATGAATTCCAGAGTTTATCAAGACATTTTGCAGGAAAACGTACGACCATCTGTCCGCCAACTGAAGCTCCGCAGAGGATGGGTGATGCAACAGGACAATGACCCAAAGCATACAAGTAATTCAACAAACAATGGCTGCAACCACACAGAATACGCCTTCTGGAGTGGCCCAGTCAGAGTCCTGACCTCAACCCGATTGAAATGCTGTGACATGACCTTAAGAGAGCGATTCACACCAGACATCCCAAGAATATTGCTACACTGAAACAGTTTTGTGAAGAGGAGTGGTCCAAAATTACTCCAGATCCTTGTGCAGGTCTGATCTGCAACTACAGGAAACGTTTGGTTGAGGTTATTGCTGCCAAAGGAGGGTCAACCAGTTATTAAGTCCAAAGGTTCACATACTTTTTCCTCCCTGCACTGTGAATGTTTACATGTTATGTGCAATTAAACCATGGCAACATCTAATGTTTGTGTAGTATTATGTTCAGCAGACTGTGTCCTTCTGTTGTTGTGACTTGATGATGTTCAGAGCACATTTTATGCCCAATTCATGCAAAACTCCACGTAATCCCAAGGGGTTCACATACTTTTTCTTGCAACTGTATATAAATATATGTAATCAATGATACATAAAACAACTGCTACACAGAGGTTTCTCTTAACTACCTATGCATTAATATGTCCCCTTTTACCACCCAAGTACAACCAGTGCCAGCTTAATCCATGAGATAAAATATCTAAATTGGCAAAATGTAACCAAACTTTTTATCCCAGGTCTTTTCCGCCAATGGTGTCTCTCCAGAAAATACATTTGCTATACATTTGGCAACATTTTTCAGCATAGTCCCCAATATGTTATCTCTTCTTCAATGGAAACAGGTTCTTTGGTAAAATTTTGTCTTACGTGTAAAAATATTACACTCCTTGCACTTGTTTTTAACATTCACCAGTTTGAGTATAAAAAAATGCAATGACTATTGTACACCCTTCTTTATGTACAGTTGCACTGCCCTTCCCCCCCGTGCCCATCCTCAATGCTACTATGGGCAGCACAGTGGCTAAGTGGTTAGCACTTCCGCCTGACAACACGGGAGTTGTTGGTTTGAATCCCGACTACGGCACTACCTGCACGGAGTTTGCATGTTCTCCCTGTACTTGCGTGGGTTTCAGAGGAAACTCTGGTTTCCTTCCACACTCCAAAGACATGCTGGTAGGTTAATTGGCTCCTGTCTGAATTGGCCCTAATATGTGTATGTATGAATTTGAGTTAGGGACCTTAGATTGTATGCTCCGTGAGGGTTAGGGACTGATGTCAATGTGCTATATATATATATATATATATATATATATATATATTTGAAAAGCGCTGCGTAAATTGACAGTGTAAGTACCTATAATAAATACTCATAAAATAAATACGTAAATACCAGCCCTTGCTAAAAACAGTGTTCTAAACTTATTAAGAGTTTCTAGTGAAATCAAAATAATGTCTGCTGGTAGGTCCGTTACATAATTCAGCATATTTGGTCTAATACAAGTTTGCCTGTAACTAAAAAGAGAGGAAGGAAGAGATTTTTTTTTTACCAGGGAGAATATGACTATATACTTGTATTATAAGGAGGGCAGGAAGTTACACATAGCCTCATATGTGTTAGTACACCTTTGAGGTCATCAGGGATGATGATTATGGTGCTTTTGATAGGGTATCTGCTTTTTGGGCTCTCTTAATAAAACATCTCACAATGCTGAAATCATAAAAGCTGTTATCAGACAACTGTCAGCCGAACAGCACCTGCATCCAATCAGATGCAAGCACTGTTCAGGTATTCTGACAGCTGGCAGTATTGGCTGTCAGAATACAATAGCCCACAGTGGGAGATTCATCCATCTGTGTTGTTATTATAGATAGAGGAATTTATCTACATGCAGAACAAAGGAGATTTATGGGTGTACAGCTTTTCTGTAAGGTGTCATGTACTGTACATAGACTTTTGTTGACATTTTGAACAGTTTTTTCTTTCTATTTAAGTCAATTTGAATGTAGGAGCAACTCAAAGGAAATTGACGCAAAAGCAACTTTAAAAAGCTATATGAACAGCTGCAAGTCAATTCAAAATATCTTATATAAGATTCAAAGCAATGGAAGGATACTGGGTTTAACTGATTCTACAGAAACCCTAAATTGTTCATACACATAGAACAATGACAAAAACTTCCAATTTACAGATACCATCCTGTCTGATAGTTCTGAAGTCAGTTTGATGTGTATTATAACCATGGGAACTTGTGATGTGGATATTAGTAAATATGGCCACTAATATTGTGAAAATGTAATACTATTTTTATTTAATAGTATTATACAAATTAATTTCTAAATCAAATCGGCCCTGAATAACACCTGTACATTAAAAAAAACTTAAAATATGGGAAAAGCTATGTTTTTTATGTACAGGAGTCATTCAGCTCTGGCTGTTTTAAATATTATTTTGTAAAATATTCACAGAAGTGATGTGAAAGCGTTGCGGAAGATCCAGCGCGTGGAGACATTGTTTACGTAATAGTATTCTATGCCATGATGCTAACACAGTTAGGTCTATTAATATACATACTGATTTGTGTGAGAGGTAGCTGATATTCTTTTTCCATATCTGCCAGCTTGGAAGCTGTAAGAATGCAGTGACCAAAGACTGTGGCTACCTTCTTGTTATACTCGTTAACAACAGCATCAAAGTCTTTAGGGAGCTCTTCTAGAAAGACCTGTAGAAAGCAAAATACATTAATTGTTTGATTTGTTACAACTGTATACATGAATGCCATAAATATTGCCATACAGCAGCTGGATATATGAGCGCAAATTTGGACAATGCATCCACTTGATAATGTAATGCCAAATTACTAGACTGCATGCCGGACTGTAAAAAATAGTCATCTAATGATTCTATACATTGACATATTCAGACATTATAGCACTGTTTCATTTTCAATATCAGAATGATTAGCAGTAGGTAAGGGGTATACATAGATAAGGGGGTCCACATTTTTACCCAAAATGTGTCCATGGCTTAGCAGCTAGCACTGAAAGTCACCAGGCACCAAAAGTGCTTACTTTGCATCTGTCGGACCTCAGACACACACAGCAGAGGATCAGAGCAAGAGAGGGTCACCTTACTTACCTCTGCCTGGACTTTTCTGGTAAGTGGGTTTCATGCAGCGAGACCTGTTCTGGAGGAAGACCTGTACTAGTGAGGATGTCTTACTGTATGGGTTCTGATTTTGTACTAGTGGGAAGGGATTTTGGCTTTGGGAAGGAGGCAACTTTTTGTTGTACTTTGTCTGCTGACCTGTGCATTATGCCCTACTGACCCCTGCATTCTGTGTATTATGTTCCCCTAACCTCTGCACTATGTGTGTTACTCCTGAGCCCTGCACTCTGTGCATTACATACTCCAAGGGAAACCTTGACAAAGCCACGTGGGTTGGTGACGTAACGCATGGGGTGGAGCGAAGTAATTTCTGGCATAGAGTCGGTGCACTGGAAGTCCAGTTCTCATGTATTGCGTTTTACATCCAGTGTTAATGTGAGTGTTTTTTTTTGCTATTCGGCTTTTAATTTAATAAACAGTATTACACTATTGGAGGTAATCTGTTTTTCCTTCCTTGGGTGTCTCAGAGTGGAGGAGAGGAAGTGGAGGTGCCATTATTAGAGCGGAGGTTATACGGCTGATGGAGAAGATTTACAGTGTGACCAGTTGCCCCCATCTAGAGTCCAGTTATGGAAATGCAACCAAGCTCTTGTGATCTGCATTTAGTTATATAGGTCCTGGTGTCCAGGTGAGCGGCCATCCTTACATGTGGTGGTGTTTATCACACAAGACACAACTGATTGATTCTGGATCACTGGAGTATAGTTGTCGGGCGAAGCACACAATTAACCATTTTGATCACTTACGCATAAAATGGATATGAACTTTTTCATGGACACATTGATTATCTGATTATTTTACTAATATTGAATGTATGCGCTTATTTCAGATGTTTTATTAAGTAGCACAACACTTTATCATCGCATCATAGAGCTGTATGTTTACATATATACAGTTCTGTTGTGGAAGGGGGTGTCATGAATCCTGGGTCTCTGCAGAGCTGAGAACATGATCCATCACTTCTCACAGTAAAAGCACCACCTAGTGTACACCAAGCACATAGCCAGGCACACACTTAACCCTTTGATCACCCTAGATGTTAAATCCCTTACCAACCAGTGTCATTATTACAGTGATTAGTGTATATTTTTAGCACTGATCACTGTATTAGTGTCACTGCTTCCCACAAAGTGTCAGTTAATTTCAGTTAGTGTAAAAATGTCTGCCGAAGTATATAAAAACAAATAAATAAATACAATTCCAGTATATGTACCATAGTTTTTGGATGCTATAACCTTTGCGCAAACTAACCAATATACAATTATTGGGATTTTTTTAAACCAAAAATACGTACCTGAATACATTTTGGCATAAATTTAAAAAGAACTTTGATTTTTAAAATTTTTATTGGATATTTTTTATAGCAGAAAATAAAAAACTTGTTTTTTTTTTCAAAATTGTTAGTCTTTTTCTATAGCCAAAAGATAAAAAAAAAAAAAAAAACATAAAAAAAAAAAAAAAAAAAAATACCAAAATAAAAAGTAAAAAACGCAGAGGTGATCACATACCACCATTATAAAGCTCTATTTGTGGGAAAAAAATTATGTACAGCATTGCATGATTGCACAATTTTCAGTTAAAGTAATGCAGCGCTGTATCGCAAAAAAGGGCCTGGTCAGGAAGGGGGGGGGGGGGTAAATCTTTTGGAGGGCAACCCTTTTATGGCCAACAACTTGCATATAAGCCTTCAAAATGGGCACTTTCGAATTTACAAGTTCAAGTCCCGTAGACTTGCATTAGGTTCGAAGTTTGCGGTTGAACCTTTCATAGGTTTGGCATCCCTTGCCACAAAAATTTCATTTTTGGGGAGATACTCCCAAAGGGAAATCACAGCTAAAGGGGTGCAGACCTTGCCCTGCAGGTACAGCAGCTGAGTGATAATTATAAAACCATTCCCATATAGATTCACTCTGCACATAGGCACAGACAAACAGCTATTTCTTCAGACTAATAAAAGTTAGGAATCTGCAGCAGCAGAGTTTGTTAAAATCCCTGCAATGTACATTGATCACCCATAGGGGATTGTTTTTTTTTTTCAACAAAAGTGGAGTTACTCTCTAAGTCTTAAGTAATTGCTAAAAGCAGTAATAATGAAATGCAGAGGCAATTATTTAATATGATAAAGAGTAGACACATTTACATAGTCTTACAGATTTGGTTATTTATTTCTAAACTGAATTCCAGGAGTATGAAAAATAGGGGCTCCCCCCACACTGTGGTTAACCGCTTCCAAACTGACCCATATATATATATATATATATATATATATATATATATATATACACATACACATATATATACATATACACATATATATACATACATACATACATACATACATACACACACACACATATACAGTCAGGTCCATAAATATTGGGACATCGACACAATTCTAACATTTTTGGCTCTATACACCAACACAATGGATTTGAAACAAAACGAACAAGATGTGCTTTAACTGCAGACTGTCAGCTTTAATTTGAGGATATTTACATCCAAATCAGGTGAACGGTGTAGGAATTACAACAGTTTGCATATGTGCCTCCCACTTGTTAAGGGACCAAAAGTAATGGGACAGAATAATAATCATTACTCAAACTTTCACTTTTTAATACTTGGTTGCAAATCCTTTGCAGTCAATTACAGCCTGAAGTCTGGAACGCACAGACATCACCAAACGCTGGGTTTCATCCCTGGTGATGCTCTGCCAGGCCTCTACTGCAACTGTCTTCAGTTCCTGCTTGTTCCCCCAAGAACATTTTCCCTTCAGTTTTGTCTTCAGCAAGTGAAATGCATGCTCAATCGGATTCAGGTCAGGTGATTGACTTGGCCATTGCATAACATTCCACTTCTTTCCCTTAAAAAACTCTTTGGTTGCTTTTGCAGTGTGCTTTGGGTCATTGTCCATCTGCACTGTGAAGTGGCGTCCAATGAGTTCTGAAGCATTTGGCTGAATATGAGCAGATAATATTGCCCAAAACACTTCAGAATTCATCCTGCTGCTTTTGTCAGCAGTCACATCATCCATAAATACAAGCGAACCAGTTCCATTGGCAGCCATACATGCCCACGCCATGACACTACCACCACCATGCTTCACTGATGAGGTGGTATGCTTAGGATCATGAGCAGTTCCTTTCCTTCTCCATACTCTTCTCTTCTCATCACTCTGGTACAAGTTGATCTCGGTCTCATCTGTCCATAGGATGTTGTTCCAGAACTGTGAAGGCTTTTTTAGATGTTGTTTGGCAAACTCTAATCTGGCCTTCTTGTTTTTGAGGCTCACCAATGGTTTACATCTTCTGGTGAACCCTCTGTATTCACTCTGGTGAAGTCTTCTCTTGATTGTTGACTTTGACACACATTCACCTACCTCCTGGAGAGTGTTCTTGATCTGGCCAACTGTTGTGAAGGGTGTTTTCTTCACCAGGGAAAGAATTCTTTGGTCATCAACCACAGTTGTTTTCTGTGGTCTTCCGGGTCTTTTGGTGTGCTGAGCTCACCGGTGCATTAGTTCTTTTTAAGAATGTTCCAAACAGTTGTTTTGGCCACGCCTAATGTTTTTGCTATCTCTCTGATGGGTTTGTTTTGGTTTTTCAGCCTATTGATGGATTGCTTCACTGCTAGTGACAGCTCTTTGGATCTCATCTGAGAGTTGACAGCAACAGATTCCAAATGCAAATAGCACACTTGAAATGAACTCTGGACCTTTTATCTGCTCATTGTAATTGGGATAATGAGGGAATAACACACACCTGGCCATGGAACAGCTGATAAGCCAATTGTCCCATTACTTTTGGTCCCTTAACAAGTGGGAGGCACATATGCAAACTGTTGTAATTCCTACACCATTCACCTGATTTGGATGTAAATACCCTCAAATAAAACTGGCAGTCTGCAGTTAAAGCATATCTGTCAGGGCTCCGGGTATGACCAGAGGTGTGTGGACTGACACAGGGAAATGCAGGCTTCAGGTATAGTGTAAATAAGACAATTTATTAAGACTAACCAACACAAACGCAGTGCAAGGTAAACATAACACAGTGCAAACAACCCAAACTCCAACAGATAACCATATATACAAATCAAACGTAGTCAGGCAGGCCGGGTCGGTAGCAAACAGGCAAACAGGGTACCAGGAGCGAGCGGAAGAGTGGTCAGGAATAGCCGAGGTCAGGACAGGCGGAGTTCGTTCAGAGTCAGGATCAAACCAGAGTCAGGATCAGGCAGGAAGCAGACAGGGTACAGGGGCTCATGGGAAACATACACCAAGGCACTGACTGCAGGTCTGGCCATTCCTTAAATACACCTCCTGCAACCAGCTTCAGGTGATGGCTGATTGCAGGAGTGAGCTTCTGGTTGCTGAGAGCACCCGCTGGCCAGCCCTGGTACTGCAGCCCACACGGCAGATGAGTCCCACCACTAATGGTGAGTCCATTC